ATGTCTTCTGTTCTAGGCAAAACAAAAGGAAAATCTATTAATAAGCGAAGCAATTTGGAGAACCAGTGTTGAGTGGGCCACCAAGGTAGAACAAGAATTCCTTGTGCTTTGTCCTGCTCAATTTTCTTCAAAATTTTCCCTATCAAACAAAAGGGGGGAAAAGCATAGAAATCATAATTTTCCCAGGAGACAGAAAAAGCATCCACAGCTTTTGCTTTAGGATCAGGCTTGAATGAAAAATACACAGGCAACTGTGAATTGATCCTAGATGCAAACAAATCTATACCAGGAACACCCCAGAATTCACTGATCTTCCTGAAAACAAGTGGATCCAACCGCCACTCAGAATTGTCGTGAGAGGTCCTACTTTGGAAATCAGCCTCCACGTTCAATACCCCAGGAATGTAGGTAGCCGTTAAAGTTATATTTTTCTTTATTGTCCAATCGAACATTTCATGAATTATCATATTGTATGGAGCTACTTTACCACCTTGAGCATTAACATAAGCGACAGCAGTTGTGTTGTCAATCTGCAACTGAATGTGAGAATCTGTCATATTTTGACAGAACGTCATCAAAGCAAACTTTGCAGCTAATATTTCTAACTCGTTTATGTGTTTATTCTTTTCAATATCTGACCACAGACCTCCAGATGCACCCCCACCAATCAATACGCCCCCCCATCCTTTTTTGGAGGCATCTGACTGAAGGATGATGGAAGGTTTACAAGAACTAAGAGATTTATACTCGCTTTCAATATGTTGGATCCACCAGCTTAAATCCTTCTTGCATTCATCAGGAATTTCAATCAATTCGTCAAATTTTCCTTTATGAATTTTCAGTGCAGATGTTTTAAAATTATCACATCTACGATAATATAACTGTGCAAGCCTTACTCCAGGAAAAGCAGAAACCATGAGGCCCACAACCTCAGCTAAATATCGAATTGTTATCTTATCTGAAGACAATGCAATTTCGCATGCACATTTAATTTTATTAGCTTTCTCTGGAGTAAGCCTAATTGTCATATCAAGAGAATCTAAAATAAATCCCAAATACACAATTCTTTGTGTTGGTTCAAAAATAGATTTTTCTGGATTAATTGTAAAACCTGATTGCAGAGAAAATTTCACAGTGTCCAAAACATTTGCTCGACAATCCGCTGAATTGTCTCCAACCAAAAGTGAGTCATCAATAAAAGACGTACTCATGTGTCCCAATTTCCGTAGTTCCGAAAACAACACTTTGGTTAGTTTTGTAAAAATTTGGGGTGCTGAACTTAAACCCATAGGTAAACAAGTAAATTGGTATAGAATTCCTTCCCACATAAACTTCAAGTACTTCCTGTCAGAACGTCTAACAGGGACTGAAAAGTAAGCTTCACTCCAATCGATTGAAGCTAAATAACAACCTGGAGTTATCAAGTCAATAGCGTGCTGCAGTAAATCCATTTTAAAATGATGATATACCACATGCTCATTCAACTCTTTAAGATCCAATATAATTCTTAAAGAGCCATCTTTTTTGAGTCGGGTAAAGATATTTTAAATAAATTCGGTAGGCTCATGTTCTGATTTCTCAACAATATTTTTGTCCAGCAATTTATTTAATGCCAGAGAGATATGAAAATTTTTATTTTCACCAAATTTATATTGAGAAGGAACATAGAATTGTTCGGGCAACTTTGAAAGTTCAAGTTCAGCACCCCAAATTGTATTTAATATGAATTTGTCCGAAGACAAGGTGTTCCAAAATACAAGGTTATTTCTCAAATTACCAGCCTTGAAATTTTTTCGCAATACAGGCAAAAGGGCATTACATAGCCCCATAAATTGATCCCAATCCGTAGATTTTAGGATACTACTTACCAAGCTCTCATCCGAATTTTGAAGATTTATTTCTTCTTGTCGTACTTCCAGGATTTCTGGTAACTGGACTTGGACCCGCCTCCCTTTTGGTAGGTCTTGCGATGTCCTAAAAAAGATTTCCCTTTATCTGAGTATTGGGAACTGCCTTTGTATGAACGGGCTTGGTTCGAGGTATGTTGGAACTTGTAATTTGAGGAATAATTAGATGATCTTCGTGTTGAAATCAAGTTAGCTTCCTTGTATTCTTTAATTTTCCTTGGCAAGTCATCTCCAAACAATAACTTCGGTGAACCACCAACATCAATGTTATTAGAGGCAGCACACACCTGCCCAGCCAAGTCAAAATTATCGTTTCTCAGAGCCGACCGCCTTTGCTGACTATAATCCTGAGAAGTAGCACTCATGATAGCCACCGTGTCCAAAACTTTCTTTATAGCCCCTTTAAAATCTGATTGTTTATCTGCAGGGCATGATTTTCTCAAATTCATTAAATCATCGGCTAGCGTGGCTAATGTATAACTGCATCTAACGAGCTTGTTGCTAAATTTTTGTAGCTTTAAATCTTGAGACCTGGAACTAGGTTGCAGTCTATTCCACACTTCTTTGTTTACAGCAGGTAACCAGATGTTGAGATTACCAGGTCTTTCAGAATATTTATCCAAAATACGTGACAAATTCTCAGTAGGCATAATAGTAGCAAACATATTGTTTATGATACTAGCTATTTTAGGATTGATATCCTTCCCGACATCGTCAGTTATGGCATAATCAGTCTCGAGACTGTCTTCAAATTCGTGGTCCTCGTCGGCCAAAGAATTCTTATTGCGACTTTGGTCTTCTTGGAAAAGTTCGTCGACCTGTTCTTCGACAGCGACGTCACCACTGTCCTTGTTATCCGATAATTTGGGTATTTTAAAACGATTTTGAGTCAAGACAGAAGAATCGTCATCAGTTTCGTCGGAATAAGAATGAGTTCTTCGACGGCCATGTTGTTTAAGGTTTTGGTCGCTTGTGCCTCCGAGGGATTGACCAGCTGCGCCGCTTACGGCTTCGCCAATTAAATTTTTTAATTCGTAACGAAATTTGTCCATTTCATTTCTAAAAAATGTTAACGATATCCCATGCCCATCGTCTTCTTTTTCCAAACTGGGAAGACTAGATTTTTTCCCCGATGGCGACGGCAAACCGGTTTCTTCAGTATCGTCGACTACAATCGGTTCAACACCTTTGCCTTTTTGAAATTGTTCAGGTTTGCTTTTGGCCGGTTTAACTTTATTTGCTGGCCTTTTCCTTTTATTTGAATCATCTTTAGGGGTTCTATTCTTGTCGAAGACTGTCTCAGCGAAGTTGAAATCCCCATCTGCAGCGGCGATAGAATTTGCCGATTCCGCCATTTTGCAAAATCTCGTGTACGAGAAAATTATTAAATACGACGTTTTATTATTTATCAACGTGTAAAAAACTCCCAAGGAATAATTATATTCCAAGTTAAAATGCTATTTCGATTACGAAATATAGCAAATGGGGAGAATCAAGTTTTTAGGACTTATTGAAGTTCTAAAAACTGTAGAGGAAGAAGGACACGTCTAGCATGTCCGAAGCTTAGCGCACTAATGAAGTGAAGCTGCGTACGCATCTCATGGGATACCATAAGCTTACGTCATGGTAAGATATAATTCCTGTACGATATTCAAATTTATGTCAGTAATATTCCAACAAAATTATGTGTTGTAATATGATAGAATGAAAGCTTGCTGTCAACTCTGTTTTGACTTATATACGGATGAAGATAAATAAAAATGACATCCTGATAGTTTTTTGGCAGTAACCGTCCCTCCACGATGCCTAGGGAGTGACATCATCTGCTAAATAATTGCACTTGACTCTGGCACGCGCTATCGTCTAAAACAATTAACTTCTTACACTATTCCGGGGGTTGGATGGCCGAATGATTAGTGCATGTCCGCTGTATCATAAGGTCTGTCTTCGAGTCAACTGGTGGGGATTCGAATCCCCGGTTGTACTTGACAAGGAGTAAGGTCACCTGTCCAACCTCGTGGGTTTTCTCCTGCTCCCCCGGTTTCCTCCCACTTCTAAAGAAATAAAATTGAACCACATGTTGGTCCCGAAATGACCTAATTTGTGTCGAGTGGATGTTAAACCCCATCTCTCTCTCTCTTGCACTATTCCAATCCATATATTTGGCGACATTTCTTAGCTTGTTTATTTCTTTATTTATAAACATAAACAAAGCCATTTCAAAATATTATCATAAACCAGAGAATATGCCATCAGAATATAATCTTTTCTCTGGCATTACTCATGTGAAAATTGTCACGTTTACATCTCTCATAATTTCAAGCATCTCGAGAGATTTCTACTTTAGTTTTCAGTTATTGTGTTATAACCATGTGCGATTTATCAGATATGTGTGTGTGAAATAGCTTTATTTAACTTACGCTTCCACCGAAGTGATATCGCAGACAACTTAACGGATATATTGTTTGGGGGGGGGGGGGGGTTGTATGTGACATATGACTAGTTTCTACATGTAATCGGCTGACATCAAGGATATTAAAATATCTGACAATGGAGAAACCACGAGTTAATCACCTGACAATGGAGAAACCACGAGTTAATCACATAGATTAAGTTTAAAATCACTCTTATTGGATTGATACATAGTCCGACAAAGGAGAATGACTTCTGTTCAGGATCGGATTGATGAATTGTCCGACAAAGGATTCAGTCAGCCAATCAAAGCAGATTAAGTAGTTAATCAAGGTAGGTGTATAGACGGTGTGACACAATAAATATGTTGATCACTTAATTATCTAATCTATCTAATCCAGCATATTATCAACGGTAATCGGGATGAGTAATAGTTATATATCCAGTACTGTCAAATAATTTAGTGTATTATAAATGTTCCATTACTGACAAAAGAAAAAATATGCAACAACTCTTGTTGACAACTTAGCTGCTGTGGGTGTATGTTTTGTTGCCTAGCAACCTATCTTTAAAAACTATTCCAATATTTAAGCATACAGCTACTGTATGAAAACGGCTCTTTTCTGCCTCAAGATCTATGCATAGTGATTATTGCACATTCTTAAATATGTTATTTTTCAGTTTAAAAGAATTGAATGAGAAAATTACAAGCAGTGATGATGAAAGTGCCAAAGCAGCATATCTTTGTGAGGTTAGAGCTTCAAAATTTATTTTGAAATAAAAACACTTATGACCATATTTTTTAGAGATTATTCTGATCCATTTCCATTGCATAGAATGTATTGAATTTTATCTTATGGTGATGATCAATCTGATGAGAGATCATATTATTCAAATGTAGTTAACAATGGTTAAGTCATAATTTTGAAAATTCAAGATATTTTCTTGTGCATGCCATCTTTTCATCTAGTTTTCATATTTCTAAGCCAATAAAAACAGCTTTAATAATATTGTTTCAAAATGTTGTGTATGGGGTCTTCCACTGAAGATACAAATATTAGGAGCGAAAATGATGTAATCTTCTTGAAAAATCAACTTTATGATTTACCAAAGCATTTCAAGCAAACCAAATGTAACCAGTATTGTTTAGTTAGATATTTGTTCAAATTATTGTTGAGCCGCTACAATGTTAGGGTGACCCACCATAAATAAATATCTCCATATATCTCGACAATTACGCCACAATACTTATATATATGCCGAGCCTCAAATCAGTTCCACACAATTATAGTCACTAAATAAACGATCATGTTGTACTTAATAAGCTATGGCCATTAATCACGTATAAATAATAGACTGAAAACTGGTTCCAAGAGTCGTCCATAACATCCAGACACTTTTGAGTAAAAGATAGGTTACGTGCCCTTGTTTTGAAATTAGTCTCGCTTAACCAGTCTATCGACCATTCTACGTCTGATTGACAGGTCGGGATAATCAAGACTACTTTTTTACGAAACATAACAGAAAGCTAGAACAAGAAATTGAATTTAGAAATAAGCACGTTAGGTAGCTCAACAATCGTTTTAAGAAGCTTGTAAAAGTAAAATGAAACTACTGCTAGTATCATGTTCTTGCCTAACCTGAGTGTGTCAGAGATATTATTTGTACTAAACCAAAAGATGCCGCTCTTAACGGTACAGTTAATGATAAAGCGATTTAAAAAATGAAACGAACGTAATTTCTAAATCTGCTGTAATAACCAAGAAGCTTAATTTTACTGCTATTCAAAATCGTCAACAATAATTTTTTTACGGCTGTAATAGTTGATAGATTTGTAGAGAATTGCACGTGCCATGGCTATTTATAGTATCATACTGTCAGAAAGTTGGTCTCGGCACGGCGAATGTGCACGCTTCAGTGGTAGTCTCGAACTATCAGCGGTGGACTGTATTTCTGTGAGTACATGGGCCACCCTAACAATGTGATATCTATGTAATTCAAGCAGTTAAAGGTAAATTTCTCCTGAAATAAGTCTTTGCTGTTAGCAAATTATTAGCTTTTATGCTTCGTTTCAGCATCAAATGTTTAGCCCGATATGTGCGGATATGTGGACGTATATTGTCGTCGCCCCTGTACGTCCAGACGGCCGTCCACAATTGTTTGTGGAAACTCTACAGGTCACAATTTTTATCCGATTTCAACAAAACTTGAACTATAGCTTTATCTCCCTAAGATCTTGGTTCCTTTCGATATTAGCTTATATCGGACCTTAACTTCATGGATCATGGCCCCTGATTGTGTGGAAAATCGCGTTTTTAGCTTGTGGACCCAATTTTTATACACCCACATTTTCATGTGGACGTATTATGCCGTCGCCCCTGTTTGTCCGTCCGTCTGTCCACAATTTGTTTGTGGACACTCTACAGGTCCACAAACAATTACAGACGGATGAAACAATTGTGGACGTATTATGCCGTCGACCCTGTCCGTCCGTCCACAATTGTTTGTGGACTCTCTACAGGTCACAATTCTTATCCGATTTTGACGAAACTTGAAATATAGGTTTATCCCAAAAAGAACTCGGCTGCTTTCGATATTGGCATGTATCTGATCGAAAATTCATGGATTATAGCCCCTGATTGTACGAAAAATCACGTTTCTAGCTTGTGGACCCTATAGAGGTCACAATTTTTATCCAATTTTGTTGAAACTTTAAATGTAAGATATTTGCGCATATCGGACCGTAACTTCCTGAATTATGGCCCCTGATTGTACGAAAAATCGCGTTTTTAGCTTGTGGACCCTATAGAGGTCATAATTTTTATCCGATTTAAAAAAACGTATTATTATATCACCATTACACTCTAAGGATGGCTGAGTTCGAATTTCGTGAAATCAGCCCAAAATTGACAGACAAAATGGCCGCGGTTCGTTCTCAAATAGCGTAAAAATATGGAATATCAAGGTTGTGAACCCTATAGAGGTCACAATTTTTATCCAATTTTGTTGAAACTTGAAATGTAAGTTTTATCCCAAAGATCTCAGTTCCTTTCGATATGTGCGCATATCGAATTGTAATTTGCTGAATTATGGCCCTTGATTGTAGGAAAAATCACATGTGGACGTATATTGTCGTCGCCCAGTTTCGTCCGTCTGTAATTGTTTGTGGACTCTCTACAGGTCACAATTCTTATCTGACTTTGACGAAACTTGAAATATAGGTTTATCGCCGAAAGATCTCTGCTGCTTTCGATATTGGCATGTATTGGATCGAAACTTCATGGAGAATGGCCCCTGATTGTACGAAAAATCACGTTTTTAGCTTGTGGATCATATAGGCTAAAGTTAATATCCGATTGACTATAAATTGATACACAGTGTTTGAGGTCATGAGACGAAGAAGCCTATTGATTTTCAGCGATTTTCGATAATTACTGCCAGAGTTATGGCCCTTGATCACTTTGAAAATTCTTGTGGACGCTCAAGAGGCTAAAGTTAATATCCGATTGACTTTAAATTTATATACAGTGTTGAACACCATGAGACGAAGAAGCCTATTGATTTTCAGAGATTTTCGATAATTACTGCCAGAGTTATGGCCCTTGATCACTTCAAAAAATCTTGTTCACACTCTAAAGGCCAAAGTTAATATCCGATTGACTTTAAATTAATACACAGTGTTTAAGGTCTTGAGACGAACAAGTATATTGATTTTCAATGAATCTTTATGACTTGAACAGCTAAATCCACGATGTTAAAAGTTTTGTATACCAAACATTAGCATGGGGCAGAACTTTATAAAACCATACAAATTCTAATGGTTTTCTGATAATTACTTAATCAGATTTTAATGTATTATAAATGTTTCTTTACCGAAAAAAGTAAAAATATGCGACAACTCTTGTTGACTGCCCGAACGATTTAGCTGCTGTGGGCATATGTTTCGTTGCCTGGCAACCTATCTTTTAGCTGGTTGTCCCTCTGGAGGTCACAATTATTATTCGATTTAAAAAAATGTTTGATTATATCACCATTACACCGTAAGGAAGGTTGAGTTCGAATTTCGTGAAATTCGGACCAAAATTGCTGGACAAAATGGCCGCCGTTTGTATGCGAGTCGTGTAAAAAAATATGGTATATCAAGGTTTTGGACCCTGTAAAGGCCACCATTTTAATTCGATTTTGAGGAAACTTGAAATTCATGTTTATAACCTAAAGATCTTGGTTCCTTTCGATATTTGCGCATATCAGATCGTAACTTCCTGAATTATGGCCCCTGATTGTCCGAAAAATCGCCTTTTTATACGCCCACATTTTCATGTGGATGTATATTGTCGTTGCCCCTGTCCGCCCGGACGTCCACAATTGTTTATGAACAGTCTACAGGTCACAATTTTTATCCGATTTTAATGAAACCCTAAGATCTCGGTTCGTTTCGATATTGGCATGTATCGGACTGTAACCTCATGGATTATGGCCCCGGATTGTACGAAAAATCACGTTTTTATCCGATTTAGTTGAAACTTGAAATGTATGATTATAACCCAAAGATCTTGGTTCCTTTCGATATTCACGCATATCGGACCGTAACTTCCTGAATTATGGCCCCTGATTGTAAGAAAATCGCGTTTTTAGCTTGTGGACCCTATAGAGGTCATAATTTTTATCCGATTTAAAAAAATGTATTATTATATCACCGTTAAACCCTAAGGACGGCTGAGTTTGAATTTTGTCAAAATCGGCCCAAAACTGACAGACAAAATGGCCGCCGTTCGTTCTCAAATAGCGTAAAAAAAAATGGTATATCAAGGTTGTGGACCCTATAGAGGTCACAATTTCTATCCGATTTTGTTGAAACTTGAAATGTAAGGTTATAACCCAAAGATTGTGGTTCCTTTCGATATTCGCGCATATCGGACCGTAACTTCCTGAATTATGGCCCCTGATTGTACGAAAAATCGCGTTTTTAGCTTGTGGGCCCTATAGAGGTCATCATTTTTATCTGATTTAAAAAAATGTATTATTATATCACTGTTACACCCTAAGGACGACTGAGTTCAAATTTCGTGAAAATCGGCCCAAAATTGACAGACAAAATAGCCGCCGTTCGTTCTCAAATAGCGTAAAAATACGGTATATCAAGGTTGTGGACCCTATAAGGCAACACAAATAAAATAACTTGTTTCTCGGGCACCGCCCGCACGCAAAATTGGTTGCGCGTGCAGTCTATTTATTAGTCTTGATGAAAAAAAATAAATATGTAACGCCCGCCCGCACATCGACAAGCAAGTCGTAAAAAAAATATCCTGCATGTACCTACATCCGCCATACATGTATATCTATTCAAATGTATTAAAACTGATTCAGATGAACATGCTGTCTTTTTTATCCGAACAATGGCGAAGTTTGGCAGATTTGCCTTTTTTATTGATATCGAAAGAACCTCCATTTTGTATCACGTGATATTAATTACCTCCCCTGATAAACTAGAATTTGATTCGTGTTAAAAGTCATTGGCGACAATATTTCAATCATTCGATCGTAATCGGCTCATTATTGCCGGCTTCAGTCGGTCCTTGTTTGGAAAATCCTATTGATAAAATAATGAACCGTAGAACAGGTTAATTAATTATAGCTAAGAACACGATACGATGACGATAGTCGTCATAATGCATACCTTAGAATCTGGGTCATTATTAGCACATTTACGGTAGTTTCGATAATCCGGAAAATAATAATTGGATTACCGAT